GGGTACTTATGGCCCATGCGTACAACCAGTTGGTTGGTGGCTGCCTCACGACGCCCTTTAAGCATACGCAAAAGCACGGCGGACGTGTTGCCCTCCTTGTGACTGGATGGTGCATTCTCTTTGTCGTCATTGTGTTTTTCAACGTGCTATAGGTGTTGCGTCTACCGCTGGTGTTTGAGAATGTAGAGTGACAAATTCATGTGTCTCAATTTTGGGAGGCACGAAATGGTGGCCAGGGAAATGGGCCCCATGATGTCGAATTGCAACAGTTACGTTGGTCTTTAACTTGGCTCGATATTGTGTGCATCAGTTTTTATTCATTTTAATTATTGCGTTTATGCTATTTGATTTTGTCACTTTTTGTCATTATTTTTAGGGGGGAGGGGGGAAGTTAACAGACCCTTGTGGTGGATGATGTGAAGGAGGGAGGGAGTGGGTATGGCTGAACCGTGTGTGTATGCTCTGTCTTCCTGTGCATGGGTGTGGGTGGGTGGTGACACCCCTCCAAACCTTGTTCTCTCTCTCTCTCTCTGTATCTCCCTCTATCTATCTCTCCATCTCCATCTCTCTCTCTCTCTCTCTCCGTGCGTGCGCCTCTCTTATTTTTCCGTCATGTTTGTCCCCGCCTTTGCAAGTGGCCCATTAGGTGTTTGGTGTGGGTGCATGATTACTGTGGCGGGGGCTGTTTGCTGTGTGACTCGTTGGCCACGACGCGGGCGAAGGGACCGGGTGGTGCCGCTGAGGGCGAGTACCCCTCACATACATACACACACACACACATGCACACACATACTCTCAAAAAGAAAAAAGATTTAAAACGGAACACAATCGCGAGGAAGATGTACTGAGCGATGTTATAGGTGTATATATGTGTGGTGAGGGGGTTAGCTTTTTTATCTTCTCATTTTTACTGTGTTTTGTCTTTGCTGTTTACAACTTCGATTTTTTGTCTTTTTTTGTGGAGGGGAGGAGAGCTGCTGTGATTTCTGCGTGTGTTTTTTAATCTGTTTCCACCGATTTTTGTGAGTTCAGTCTGTTTTTCATCGCAGCACTCACACCCATGTGTTTTGTTTTCTGCATTGCTCTACTGGCTAGGTTGGCTTGTCTCTTCGTTGCTCCTTCTGAACTTCCGTGTATGTAGGGAGGAACAGGAGGCAGGAATCCATTTTTTGAATGGAAGGAAAAGACATCATCAAGTACTTTTCCGCAATCTGCATATCATAGATATAAGCAAGAAACTGGAAAGTGGTGTGATGGCACATATTGATTTAAAGAAGGCAGCTGTGGTTGGCTTGGACGACCTTGTCCTGCTGCCGCAGCTTTCTGACAAAGCCATTATGGAGAACCTTAAGTTGCGCCACAGCAGGGATCTCATCTACACGAGTATTGGCCCTGTGTTGTTAAGTGTGAATCCATTCAAAAAGATTCCAGGTTTGTACAGTGAGGAGCGCATCGCGTTTTTTCGGAGGGGTGGAAAGGGTAATGGGGGCGTGACTGGGAGCAACCATGGTGAGCCCCATGTGTTTGGCTTGGCAGAGGAGACATACCGCACCATGGTGTCAGAGGAGGAGAATCAGTGTGTCATCATCTCAGGGGAATCAGGGGCCGGAAAGACGGAGGCATCAAAGCAGATTATGCAGTACGTCTCCGCTGTCTCTGGTAACACAGCGGAAATGCAGCGTGTAAAGCGAATCATTCTGGAGTCCAACCCGTTGCTGGAGGCTTTTGGAAATGCAAAGACCGTTCGTAATGACAACAGCTCTCGTTTTGGGAAGTTCTTTGAAATATTTTTTGATCGAATGGGTGGCCCTGTTGGCGGGCGCATGTCGAACTTTCTTCTTGAGAAGTCACGGGTTGTTGGCCAGCAGAAAGGAGAGCGGAGCTTTCATGTGTTTTATCAGTTATGTCGTGGAGCTGCTCCGGCGCTCCGGGACAGGCTGCGGCTACTGCCTCCTGGCCAGTTCTTCTACTTGAACCAGGGCGGAACGCTGGAGTGTGATGGCATTGACGACGGGAAGGAGTGGGCGGAGACGCTAGCTGCAATGGACGCGATGTTGATTTCGACATCAGATCAGCAGTCTATTTTTGATACCCTTGCCCTTATACTCCACCTTGGGCAGCTGCAGTTTGCGCCATCCGAAGTAGACCGCGAGGACGCTGCGCTGATGGTTTTAAATCGAGACGAACTGGATTTTTGCGCCACGCTCTTGGGCGTAGACGCGACCGCACTGGAGCGGGTTCTCACATGGAAGCGGCTGGAAATGGGCGCAAGCGAGGTGGTTAATGTCCCCCTCGACATGCAACAGAGCCGAAACGCCCGTGACGCCATTGCAAAGACACTGTACCACCACTTGTTTGAGTTTATAGTGCAGTCTGTGAATGTGGCTCTTGGGGAGAAGCCGCATGACTTAATGCTAGGCGTTCTTGACATTTACGGATTTGAGATATTTGAAAAAAACGGGTTTGAGCAGTTCTGCATTAATTATGTCAATGAAAAGCTTCAGCAGATCTTCATAGCGTTAACTTTGAAGGTGGAGCAAGAGGAGTATGTGCGTGAGAATATTCCATGGGAAGAGATTAAGTACTTCAACAACAAGGTTGTATGCGATCTTATTGAGGGTATGCAGCCACCCGGGTTATTTGCTGTCATTGATGATGTGTGTGCGACGATGGCGAAGGAAAAGGAGTCTGTTGCTGACATCAAGATGCTTGACAAACTAGATGCTGTACACGCCGGTAATCCTCACTTCAACAGGACAGAAAAAGGGTTTCGTGTTAAGCACTACGCAGGAGATGTGCAGTACGACGCAGAGGGTTTCACAACCCGCAACAAGGACCTTATTAGTATCGATACTACATCAATGCTTGGTTTTTCCTCTAATCGTTTTTTGTTAACAATCCTCGCGGAGACCATTGCAGGTGTTTCACAAGGTGGCGCCGGGGGAACGAAAACACGTGTGACTACCGCTGGACTTAAGATGCGGCAGCAGGCCTCAAATCTTATCAAGACACTGATGGGATGCAATCCACATTATGTGCGCACCATCAAATCAAACGACGAAAAGCGCCCCAATTTTATAGATGATGCCCGAGTGCTACACCAGGTAAAATACTTGGGCCTTCTCGAAAACGTTCGTGTTCGTCGTGCAGGATACATATACCGGCAATACTTTGATAAGTTTCTCAAGCGCTTCAAATTCCTTAGTCCGGAGACGTTTCCACGCCCGTTCAAGGGCTCTGACCATGATGCCTGTTCTGCTATTTTGCGGCGCGTCGGTGATGCCTTGCCGCAGGGATCCTGGCAGCTGGGCCAGCACAAGGTATTTATCCGACAACCACAGCACCTGTTCACACTTGAAGAGCTCCGTGAGGCCGCGCTTGACAATATTGTCTTAAAGATTCAGCGCACCTGGTGCCGGTACCAGCAGCATAAGGATGGTATTCTCCTTAGGACTAGTATGGGGCGCGTGTATTCTAAGGCCGGGAAGGCACGACGGGCCGACAGTGTGTTTCGCCCCTTCTCCGGAGATTATCTTGACTACCGCAACAAACTTGGGCCGCTTCACCCATACGTGGAGTTTAACCCCATCGGGAGTGCATGGAAGGAGTTCTGGACAGATGCGGGAAAGCGATATTACCATAATCCGATTCTTCAACAGAGTCAATGGGAACGTCCACGGGAGATGTCTCCGCAGAGAATCCTTTTTACTGCGCTTGTGGAGCGGGTTGTCAATCATCAGAAGGCCTTACTTGAGAAGGAGTTTTGCATTATAACGGATTTAGCAATTTACCTGATACAAGAACGCTTAGAAACCGTGGTACAGCCGCAAGCAAAGCCTACTAGGAGAAATGTTCATCCAGTATCGCCCACAATTTCTACCGTGACGAGATATTTTCTTCGGAAGCGACTGGATTTGCGCCTCTTATCGGGAATTTCTGTCACCACGCATGCGGATACAGTTATTATGCTGCATTTTTACCAACCCACTGTCCCTTACCGACCAATTGTGACAAGTACAACGGCAGTAAAAAATCAACGGAGCCATCTATGCGAATGTTGCGGGGACAAAATGTCACCTGCGGCGAAGAGACAACACTGTCCTGGGTGCGGTCGACTCTGTTGTGTGAAAAAATGTTTGCGGTACAGTCGGCCGCTCCCTACGCTGCTCGGGCACAGCAAGCCAGTGCGAGTATGTCCTAGTTGTGTGCACGGAGAGTCCTTAGAACCGGTTGAGGATGTAGTGATGATGACCCCCATGAAGACAGAGATTGCAGCCCTGCTAAGGAAGTGGTATCGCGTTTTGATGGGGAACAAAATCTCAATGACGATCAGCGACACTCTCAAGTATCATCTATTCGGTGAAAATCAGTCGTGGATTCTCACATCAAATGCTTCTGCTTCCATTTCTGAAACGATACTCACTTCAGCTGGTTCATTTGCCCTTGCAGCGAGTGCACCATTGGGTATTCCCCAAGAGATGATTCAGGCAATTGAAACGGCACGAGAGCAGCGACGCGTTGCTGCAGCGGAACGGTGCAGAAAGGAAGATGAGGAGGAACGGCGGCGCGAGGTGGAACGCGAGAGGGGACGTGAGGAGGAACATCGTCGTATTGTGGAGGAACGCAAAAGGGTGAGAGCAGCGGCAGAGGAGCGGCAAGAGGCGGAGCGGTTGCAGCGCGAGCGGGCTCTTTGTGCTCAACGGGAAGAGTCTGCACGAATCGTCGCGGAACGATCAACGTGGTATCGATAACTGTGTCAAGAGATATAATCGGTGTGCTGGTAATGTGATGTTTTAACCGGCGCTACCGCATCACTTTTGACTCTCCGCAGAGCCTCATTAATTTTTGTGTGTGTTATCGTATCTGTTGTTGCTTCTGTGTTATTGCTGGTGATGTCTCATTATCCCTCTGCGTATGCGTATGTATACGGCGCGGACTGCGCTGTGCTTTTGACTTTCTCGCACTGTCCGTCACTTTCTCTATTTCTCTTTGTGGGCATTTGTTTGTTTTTATTCCAATTTCAGCAGTAATAATGATGGGATCATCGGCGTTTGTGGAGCAGGAGAACGAGGCTGTCACGCAGACACGCGTCGAAATGCTGCAGCAGGAAGTTTTTAGAAAACAGGCGGAACTTGACTCTTTGCGCGTCCTCTCGACGGAGAACAAGTACCTCCGAGAAAATATTATGGTGCTCCATGACCAAGTGCAACTGCTAGTGCCAAACTGGACAGAACCCGTCACCGGTGAAGGCATCTCACTTCGGGCACAGCTGCTGGCGTACCAGCGGTACAACCGTGTGCTTCAGGACGAATTGGATTGCAAAGAGGAGACCATCGTTGAGCTGCGGGGAAAAGTGGAGCAGCAGGAGGATGAACTCGTTGCTTCTAGGCAACGCTGCAGCATTCTCTTTGAGCGCCTTTGTGCCGCTGGTGCAGTGTCGCCTGTCAACAACAACGAGGAGGCGGTGGACGGTGGAATGATATGGTCAATCGTTGCGGATGAAGACGACCCAACAAGGTTTTTTTCACTTGCTCGCAAGCTCCAAGGGGTCGAGAAGGAACGGGAGCTTCTGCAGGAAGGACTTATTTCCCTTCAAGAGGACTACGAACGACGAGGGGTTCTTGTTGCCTCGGTGCGGCGTGAAAACACAGCACTCCGTGCCTCTGTCTCACAGCTCATACACCAGGTGCAGCTGTCAGCTACGTCGCAGCTAGAGAACACCATGGAGAATGGGGCAAGCGTGCCACCAAAGACAATTGTGGAGGGACGGGATGGTGTTGCTGTGGATCCGCATCTAAAATTTTTGGAGTGTCATGCACAGAAGGAATTGAAGACCACTTAAAATGCACATTGTGATTCGTGGGGCGGATGAGTAGCGACGCCTCTGCCATCGTTGCTCTGTGTCTCTTATTTAGAAGCCCCACGTACAATTGAGTAAATATCGTTGCCTTTTTTTTTTTTTTTGGGGGGGGAGGGTTGCTTTCCCTTTGGAAGCGATGCCTTTTCTTGTTATATTTTTGTCGTCTGCTGCCACTGTGCTGGGGAGCTTTTCATGGTCTGCAGCTTCTTCCCCCATTGTCGCACATCACGGTAGACTTGTCATGTAAAGTGTGGGATGCAGCTCGTTATTGTTATTGTTGTTGTTTTCCTTTTTTTTGTTGAGTTTTTTTGCGGTGAAGCGACAGGTGTAAGGGGGAAACAGAAAAGAGGGGGAAGGGGGAAGGAGACCTGTGCGACAAAAAGAATGTCGAATGACCCGTCGATGAACACGGCGCTGCTGGACTTCTGCACGTCAGTCGGCGCCGGCTCGAGGAATGGAAATTGCGGCGAACTTCCGCGTCGTAACTCCGAGGAGCTGCAGTGGCTCAAAGAGGCGCTGGCATCGGTTGAGGCACCAGAGCGGCAGGTCAAACGCCTGTTGGAAACAATATCACGCGATGACGTCGCCGAGGATGAGTGCGTCGCTGCGCTGGAGGAGCTGAGCGAGTTGGTTGAGGACATCAATTGGGCTATTGAGTTCTCACTCATGGATGGTCACCGCGTCGTGCTGGAGCTTCTGCGCAAGGAACAGCTGGCTTTGAAAAGCGCCCAGGTTCGTCAGGGAGCGGCGATGGTCATTGCCCACTCTGCTCAGCTTAACGAGAGAGTACAAAAGTGTTTTGAAGAAGCACAGTGGCAGGCGGTGCTACTGCCATTGCTGAGGGAGGAGAAGTCTCCTGCTGTATTGGCCGCTCTCCTGCACAGCTGTAGCTGTCTCTGCCGTGAGTACTCTCCAAATGCTCTTCTCTTCACCAGGGCGGGAGGGAATGAACTCATCGCCACAATGTTGACAAGAGAGCCTTTGGGAGGGAGCAACGACAAGAAGATCCTTAAGCGGGTGCTGTTCCTGCTGAGGTATCTTGCGGACGTGCTCGATATTGCCACAGAAGATTTGATTCGTTGCGTTTCTACACATGCCGCAAGCACAGATGAAGATGTGCAGATCTCTGTGGCGCAAACCCTCATTCCTTGCGCCGAAAGATGCTGCGCTATTGTGAAACGTGTGTTGAATGAAGTGGCGCCCGAGAGTTCCACACTCTGGAGAAACTCATTACTTGAAGAGGAAGACCCCAGGAAGCAGCTGGTAAATAAACTGGACAGAGAGGGTCACGACGGCTAATGAGAGTAGGCAAACAGCAAAAAAAAAAAAACAGAGGTCCAAACAACGTATCAGTTGTCCATCCCATCTTATTGTTACTATTATTATTATTATTATTTGGCAGTATAAACGTGTATGTTATACCTGAAACGATCGCCTAGCGGTGTGCCTCAAAGTGCTGAGTGCCGAGAGTGGAGTAGCTGGGATGTTTGTTCCCTTTGCTCTGCTTCCTCTGCATCTTTAAGCTTCCAATTTCTTTTTCTCACACTCCGTGTTTGCATCCTACCCCTTTGTTTCAACAAATCTTTCTATTGGACTCTGCGTGGACTCACGCACACACATTTTCTATTGTGTCAAACCACAATCGTTAGGATTAGCGGGTAAATGAAGCCCGTTGCGGTGGGAACACTTCCTGCAGACCTCATTGATGCCATCCGTGGCGGCGCCGTGACGCTCAAGCAGATGCACGATAACACCATTGTCTTCCAAGATGAGAAAGTAAGTGTTGAATGGCACTGCACTCTTCAGCCGGGGGAGCTGCATTCGTATAGACAACAAAAGACAGGTGTCAGCGAGTCCGCGGAAGTCTCCCGTATTGCTGCTGTGCAGAAGACAACGGTGCAACCGGAGAAGAAGCAGAGTGCACCAGACACAAGCGCAACAGAGGACACGAGTGCACCGTATTTTCCTAGTGTGTCGAAAGCAACTGCCACGCTATCTGACGTCATGCATCAGCATCGTTCCTTGACGATGAAAATTGCATATCTTTTAGCACCGGCACCCATGGATCAGCGTGAGCTCCTCCGCTCTTTTGCTGCTGAGAATGAGGACGTATTGAATGATGTGTTGAGTGTTCTCACAGTGCTCAATCGCCGTGGGCAGCGCGAGCTTGTGGAGGCCGGATACGAACTTATAGACATCGAATACTACAGTTCCAAAGCTGTTAAACAACAAGTGGCGAATCTGGCCCTTCCAAAAGTTGCGCACAACAAAGCCGTTTTGGATCGCTTTGCTTTATATGCAGACCGGGACGTGATGCTGGCAACCTGCTCAAGAGGTATCATGGCAGGACTCGGAAGCTCCAAGCGAAAGCGGGACGAGGATGATGATTCAGAGGGCGTAGAAAGCGATGAGGGCACCGTAGGACAACGCGCGGAGGAACCCGTGCAGAAGTTTGCAATGACGCTCTTAACCTCCATGGATCAGAGCGGTATTCGATGGGCGGATGGTGACCTCACCAAAGGACGATGCGTTCTGTCGTCTGTGACAAAAGAGGTGTTGAAGCGACGACAACGACCAAACACCGTGCTGGGATTCGGAGAGCAGCAGGCGCTGAGGCCTATGCCAATTGTAGACGCATCACAGCTTGTTTCTGCGCAAGGCGACTACGCCATTTTGCGGAAGGAATACAATGATATGTACGACACACTGAAGCGTGTGGAGGAGGTAACGGAAGAGGCAAGGGGATGGTGCCAGTCTAATGCCAATCGTATATCGGCAGAATTGCGTGAGGAGATACAGCGCTGGTTTGCCGCACAGGAACATCCTTGGACGGTCCTCGTTACCTCGTTCAATAGCCTTCACAAGGTGCTCTACCAACTGAAACGGGAAATTGAAGACTATGTGAACCTTCGCGAATGGGGCGTCTTGAGTTGACTGTGGAACTCCTCTGCCTCATGCCCTGTTTTCTTTTTTTTTTTATAAAATAAAAGGAAGCAGATGTAGGAGGAAACAAAACCTAATTTGACCAGCGTGGGTGACAGTATGGCCCCACGGGGGAGTGTGTGTGCGTTTTCGTGGTGGTTTTTGGTATTAATGGTGGTGGCGGTGGTTCCCATTCGGTTGAACTTTCTTGCCCATTGTGTGTTTGGTTGTGCGTGGGTGCCTTCATTTTGTGCCGGAGAGGCCTGAAGCACGTTGAAAAATAAAAAGGTGGAAAAAGAAAAGCAACCGTTATTTCTTAGTGAAAGAGTCTCTCTGAAGGAAAAGGGATAAGAATGCGGTGGAAAGTGTGAGGATGTGACGTGATTTTATCCGTTTAGTTAATTTTTTTTTGTCATGCCTGCTATACCCTATCCCTGTTGGTGTCGTGTAGTGTTGAGTCGGCCTGGGTGCACGCAAAGTGAAGGATGACTTCATCGGAAGGCCATGAGTTGACATTACCTCCGTGCCCGCTCGGGGCGGAGCTAGATCACGAGTTTAATCCTGAATTGGACAGCAAGCATCCATCACCGCCGCCGCCCTTGTCTTCGTGTGAAACTGATGACATGCACGAGGACCACATTAGCTTTCTCCGCACCGTCAACGCATTTCGTTCCTACAGAAGTCGGGCACTGGGGGCTCGGGAGATTCGTTTAAATGACTTTATGAAATTTCATGAGCAATATCGACAAATTCTCTGTCTTGATTTGGATCGTATGTTCAGTACCTACCTTAATTGCATTGAAAGCAACAGTCGCTTTTTTGAATCCATCTGTAACACCTCCTCAGAACTCTTTGATTCCTACTGGCCTACAGGTACCACCGTGCGGCCGGAGGATGTCCCAGCGCCCACCCCGCTGGATATTGACAAGGTATTTACGACGCTCCGTCAGTTTGTACGGGACTGGTCAGCCGAGGGCGCCCCAGAACGGAACTCTGTGTACCTGCCAATTCTTACTACACTAGAGAATTCTTACCCCGATTGCGCAACAAGAGCGGGTGTTAAAATTCTTGTTCCCGGTGCTGGGTTGTGTCGTCTCTCTGTTGAACTCGCTCTGCGTGGGTTTGCAGCGCAGGCAAATGAGTTTAGTTATCATATGCTAATTGCGGGACACTACATTCAAAATCATGTCGTTTCCTCGTGTCAGCACACCATCTACCCCTACGTTGACAACACGAGTAATCTTGTAAATCGAGAGGATCAGTTTGTGGATGTGCATATTCCTGATCTATGTGCCTTTGAGGCCATTGATAACCTTCGTGAAGAGGAGGAGCGTTCTTTTGGTGAACTTTCCATGGTAGCGGGTGACTTCACAGAGGTTTACGCCAAGGAACACCAACACAAAAGCTGGAATGCTGTGGCCACGTGCTTTTTTATTGACACGGCGCATAACATTGTGGAATACATAGAGATCATTTACAACCTGCTCGTACCAGGCGGGTACTGGGTAAATGTTGGGCCACTGCTGTACCACTTTGCGGATTCCTCAGATGACATGTCCATTGAACTTTCGCTGGGGGAGGTGCTCACAGTGGCGCAGCGCATTGGATTTGTTCTTCTTCGCCAGCCGGAGTTTATCGACACAACCTATACAAATAATCATCGAAGCATGAAGCAGCTTGTTTACAGGTGTGCCTTTTTTACACTTCAGCGGCCGCTCACAGCAGATAAGGAGCGAGAGCAGCAGGACAAAAACCCCACTGTGACAAAGATATAAGCAAAACAAAACAAAAATTATTGACGCACAAAAAAAAAAACGCAAACATGCAGATTTTTTTTTAAGGGATTACGTACACTTTTACTAATGGAAGGGAAAGGAGGAATTGTGTGTGCCTGAGGATGAAATTGTTGAGAATGACGGTGGCAAACTAAAAGAAACGAACGACAAAGAGTAAGTGATGTGTGCGATACATGAGAACAAAGCAGGCTAGTCCTTTGACACCGGACCTCCCTGCAAGCGAAGAGCGAAGAATTGTACTGACGTGCTCTTCTTGTCTGTCAGTTTGTTGGTTTTCCACGTTGCCAGTGTGTGTCCGGTGCATTGCTACTACCAGAAGTAATTCTGGGGAATTGCCCGTATAAATAAACAATGATGCTTCCCTGTTGGGATGTTTCTTTTTGCCTTGACTGCTCAACGGTGGCGGACAGGCATTAGAGGGAACAGAGCGCAAGAGGAAAATGGAGATAGTGAAAAACAAGTGGTAATTGTGCTGATGAATGGGGAAAAATAGGAAGGGGACGCTTGTGGAGAAGTGTTATTGTGTAGGAATAATTCGATGTCCTCATGTTTCGTTTTTTTTTCCTTGCGTCGTGAAGTCGCATTGTCTCTTTTGCTGTATTTCCCTCTTTTGTTGACCTTGTCCCTTGGTTTTGGTCGTTATTTTCATACGTCCTCTTCTTGAGTTTCCAGACGATGAAAGCTAACGGTGACAAAGACTACACAGAACACGCCATTACCGTTATGTGCGTATGGTATGCATGTGTGTGTGTGCGTGTGATGTGCTTTTTTTCAGCCTGACAATTGTGTTGCTATTTTTACGTCCTTCTTGCATTCTGTTGTTTTGTTTGCTTTGTGGCAGTCTCTCTCTATCTCTATCCCGCTATTCTCCCTTTATTAATAATCGCGGGCGTCTGCCGGCGTGCTTCTAGACACAACCAAAACGGCCCGCTAAAATACGAGTTTCATGGCACAACTCCAAAAAGGAGGCGACGAGGCAATTGCGGCAATTACTGGCGTGGAAACAGGTCATACGTCATGCGTAAATTGCGTTGTTCGTCTCAGTGACATTGCCTCAACCGTCAGCCCACTTTACCGTTACTTTTCCTTTTCAGTTGGCCACAGTAACAGTGCAAAGGAGCCTTACGTTCCTCCTTGTATTCGCTGCCCGAACTGCAAGGGGTGTCAGCTTCATTTACAATTCTGCAGTGGAGCCTACGGGTTGCGTCACGTCCTTGCGTGGATTCTCCACAGGCAACCGCCAAAAGCAGGAGAAAGCCGGACCATCAAGCTTCACTGTGATACAGGAAAAGATGAGGGCAGCAGCACCCTTTCCAGATGTTCGGTCTGTCGATTTGAAGTAGGTCCTGTGGTTATCACACGTCACATCATTCATTGCTCGCTGGAGCAGACAATGGAAACGTCACAGCGAGGGGGGCGCACTGGCACCTTTGCCGGCATGGCATGTCCTCGGCCACTGAACTTTATTGATGTCTACTATAGTATATTCCTTGGCACCACGCAGAATGGAAGAGAGAAGAAGAGATTCAGGGTTCTACAGCGTACCGCAATGCGGGCTGTCGCAGCAGAAGCAAGGGCACTTTGGGAGAAGCTTACCTTCTCTCATGAGAGATATAATGAGCAGAGATCAGAGGAAATAAAGGCAAAAGCGGGGAAAGTGCTTGGTCCTCGGCGAGTCCCAGTTGACTGGAGATGCCCTCCGTTTTTCTTTTCGCTTCTCCCATGTGCCCCAGTGGGCAATGGAGGTCTCACATTTGTTTTGTGGCTTTGCGAGCTTGGTCGCCATATCATCACTTCGTACATTGTTGAAGATGGAGAATTTTGGCGATCTAAACACACTTGCACCTCGGAAAAGGAAACAGATACTGCAGAGTGTGTGAGCACCTCAGCCCCTGTCTTGGACCTCAAGAGGAAGGGGGAAGCGAAGTGCCGACGCTGTTACGCCCCCGGTATCTGCTGGGGTCTTATCTACAGGCGTCACCGAGAAGACCGAGTTAAGATGCTTACCATCCTGTGCGCTCGTCGCGGATGTACCAAACGGAGGATAGCACGGCGGGCAATTTAACGTCGTTTTGGCGGCGATTGGGGACCCAGCACAAATGATGTGGCATGGGTTAATAAAAATAAAACGCGCGCTCAGTTTATGGCGCTATTGGTTGCATATATGATGCGCACAACGGTATGCGGGCCATACAGGCAGCGCCATATCGCTCCACCTCCCCCTTCATAGTGTGGGGCCCTTGCAGAGGTGACTCTGAGCGACGTCTAGCATCTTGTTTTTATTCTTGTTATTTTTTCTCCACGTTTTATTCACTTCTAACAGTTGCGAGCGACGCAAATGTGTGTCATCTCTCCTCTTTTGTCCTCACTTTTGAGTTGTTGCTCCGCTACGGTCAAGAGTTCAATTGTCATGTGTGTAGGTGCGTTTTTTTTTATTTGCTTGGCATAAACGCGTGTTACAAGTCCGCATGTGTGTGCCCCACAGACTATATATATATATGATATTGTTGTTATTGAGGGATGGGGGATTGTTATTGTTTTTCTTTGCTCCTCTGTGAAGAAGATTCTCAGAGTTAGCCTGCACTCTTTTGCTTGTTGTTGATATTTTAGTGGGGGACCTCTGCTGCTTTCAGTTCACTTTTTTCCCCTATTTCCGTTTGATCCCTTTCTTCTCCTGTAGGTGTGTTGCTCACGACCAGGCGACATGGAGCCCTCCAGGAAGCTGCCAAAGACGTTGTCGCAGGGGGATGCGGGGAGACGTTTACAGACGGATGCGGAACCACCCAAAAATTGCGACATTAGACTTAAGCGCTCTGACGTGGAGGCGGCCTTTGCTTTCTTCGATGTACAGAACAAAAAAGAATTGAAGCCGCGCGACCTGAAGACGCGCCTCGCTGCCTTTTACCCCAACATGACAAACAAGGAGTTGAAATTCCTTCTTGATGAGTCCACGGACGGCAGCTTTACCGTGGAGTCGCTTTGGAACATCATCAACAACTACAATGGGATGCAAACCTCCACGGTGGCAGCGAATAGCTTGACGTTCGATCCCGTGAAGGAGGCGTTTAACATTTACGACCCGGAAGGTCGCGGTGTTGTTGATGTGGAGGTGTTGTCCGGCATCATGAAGCGCATTGGATTTGGGGATCTCTCGCAGGAGGAGATGAAGCTGTTGATTCAAACTGCAGACTTTGATAAGGACGGGAATATCAACCTCGAAGACTTTCGGAATCTCTTGAAAATAGATAGGTAGAGAACGACGGAAAGAAGAGGAAAACTTGCTATATATACACATATATGTCCATCTTTATGCGTGGTGTTCACGTGTTGAGACAGGAGACGTTGTTTTCGCTTCTCTTTCATCCCTTTTATTCCCTCAATCCCTTCTATCTCGTTTTTTTTTGTTTTGCGACTGATGTGTTTAGTTGTGTGCGTTCATGTATAGCACGTAGCCGATTTGAGAAGAGGTGTGGAACGGGCAAAAGTGTGTGGCACGCGCCCTCTGTAGTGCCTTTTGGAGCGACACGTGTGCAACCTCCAGCAGCACCACTGTTGTCACTCACAACGCTATTTGATTCAACTGGTTGGTGTTGTTGTTGTTGTTTTTTTTTTTTTGCTTGGGGTTGAGGGCCAAACGACAGCAGCAGGCACGAGATCCAAAAACTTTTTGAAGGTAAGTTAGCCATTTTATTTGGGTGAAGAAGTAAATTAAAGGGAAAAGGGGGGGAATCAGACGACAACTAAAGGGAATAAAAGGGGAAATAAAACAAAAAACTTTATCGACGTCGCTATGGAAACCCCAAAAAACGACGTCTCTGTTGAGCAGGTCCTGCTGAAGGAGCTTCCAAATCTCCATCTAATCCCACAAACGAATCAGCTGAAGTTTCTCTTCACCACCATTCGCAATGAGAAGACCCTCCGTACCGATTTTGTGTTTTATTGTGAACGTATCATTCGTCTCGTGGTGGAGGCTGGACTTGACCTGGTTTCTGTTGTGCCAACGGATGTAATGACACCAACCGGTGTCGTTTACCATGGCTGCAAGCCTGATTCAAGGGGCATCATAGGCATCAGCATCCTTCGTGCCGGTGAGTCTATGGAACGCGCTCTCCGAGAAACATGTCGCGGCATTCGCATCGGAAAGATTTTGGTTCAGCGAGATGAGACGTCAGCTGAAAAGATTCCGGATGAGCGGTACAACTACAGCAAGATTCCAAAGGATGTTGCTGGCCGTTGTGTGTTGCTACTTGACCCTATGATTGCATCAGGCGGCAGCGCCATCCGTGCCACGGATATTCTGATGAAGGAATACAATGTGCCGGAGGAGAACATTGTGTTCCTTAACCTAATTACCTGCCCGGAGGGGATCCGACGCTATATGGGCAAATTCCCCAAGGTAAGGGTGGTGACTGCGGCAATCGATAGCGGTCTAAACGACTCCAAATACATCACCCCCGGCCTCGGTGATTTTGGCGATCGCTACTTTGGGACGCAAGACTAATTGAAAGCAGATATACATAGGAGGCCGAAACCGAAGCCACCTCGACCCATGCTCCCTTTTTTTAAAGGTTGGTGGCAGTGAAGCTGTGGGAACCTAACGAAAGAGAGAGAGCAAAAAAAAGAGGGGAAAAATAATAATAATAATAATAATAATCCTTCGCCAGTATCTGTCTTTTTTTTTTTTTTACTTCTCTAGGGAATTCGTGTGGGGAAAAAGATCACGACTAGCTTTTATTGTTGCCGTGTATGCAGACCCTAAGCGTCAGTGCCTTCATGAAATAGATGATAGGTTGGCATACATGATACACATGGAAGTGTACAATGCCTGTATGCAGACGCATTTTTTTTCTGCATGAGGTGCCGATTTTATTTTCACTAGTTTGGTTGTTGTTTTTTTTTTTTTCGTGGTTCTCCCGACGGGTGGGAAACATTATTATTATTAACTATCTTCTGTTTCCATTTTTTTTTTGCCGGCGCCTCCAAAATGTTTATGTCAACACGGTATGAAAACAGTAACAAATACACCTTCATTGCTCCATGGGATTATCTCTGCTTCCCACTCTCTTTTATGCCATAGCCCGGAGGGAGAATGATGGAGGAGGAAAGGGCTGTACGGTGAGGAGCACAGGATAGTTTTGACAGCCCCCGAGGTCATAACTGCAATGATTAGAAGTAGTATATTTTAAGGGTTAGGAGAAGTTACTTTGTTGTGGTTAATGTTAACGAAATATTTTTTGTAAAAAAAACACACAAAAAAGTAAGATGGGAGAACTCTACCTACTATGATAATTCCCCACGATTCTTCGCGAAGAGGATGCAGGGAAATACTGAAGGCAGCACTTTTGTTCTTGTTATTGCCGCACCAATTTGCTGTGTTGTGCACACTTTCAATGTTGCTTGTGTTTTTCTCCTCCTTTAATTTTCCTATTCATTTGTGTGAAGGGGTATTTTTTTTTGTTATTGTTTTTTGGCACTTTACAGAGCGAGTGAGAGAGATCAACGACATGAAGACCGCTCTGCCACCTGAAGTTGCAGCTCAAGCTCAGGCGAGACGGGAGTTGGCCGCCAACCTGGGGGCGTTGCAAAAACCGCTGTTGGAACTCGCAAGGATGCTGCCTCCTGGCAGTGGTGCTCGTCCCATGGAGGAGGTTTTGACCTATTTACGGAATGAGGATGCCCCTCGCCTCGCTAATCTGGTGGAAAGGCTAAAGCAAGAGGTTCAGGGGGGCGGTGATGTGAACAACGATGAAGCGGAGAGGTGGAAGGAGCAAGGAGTCAAGGCCTATGAGATGGGGAAAATGGACGAAAGTGTGCTCATGTACACTCGTGGAGTGATGTATGCCAGTCAGGACGAGACCCTAGCAACACTTCTCTATGACCGCAGTACAGTCTTTTTGGCCCAAGCACGCCTTACAGAGGCGCTGGCAGATGCTCATATGGCCTTCACCTTAATGCCGAACAACTGGAAAGCATTGGAGCGTCGTGGTGTATGCTTACAAAAGTTGGGATTTGAAGAGGAAGGTAAAAAAGATATTCACGCAGCAGATATTGTAAATGCGGCATCGGCAAATACAGTTAAGGTGATCTCGAAGATTATACATGTTGATGGTGGCAGTTGTGAAGATAAGGCGATGAACTTACTGGAAGGGGGAATTTCTTCTTCTCATGTGGATAGTATCACGTACAACGATAACATGAGAGGGGTAGTGGCAAAATGTCGTTTGGAACTTGGAGAAATTATGACGGAAATGCCCGTTGTTCATGCGTTACATGATGATCATTGGTGTATACGCTGTAGTTATTGCTTGCGCATGACACAGGCCTTGTATCCTGGGACAGCCTATCGTGAAAAAGAAAAATTGGCTCGAGGACTCTTTTGTGGTGAAGAGTGTGGCCGCCTGAGTTGGGAACGCTTTGGCCAATACGAGAGTGCAAACCCTTTTTTTCAAATATGCCCGATCGAGGCCTTAGTTGCAAGTCGTATATTGTGTTCTGAAGATGCAGTTTTTAGGTGTAAATCTATTCGTGGGAACTTTACAGGTGAGTTGTACCCTGTGGCTATCGTTGGGGGTTATGAAACTGCCGTGAGCCTCTGTGCACTCTTGCTAGATGCAGTGGGTGTAAAGGACGCGGATCGCCTGCGGTTTGCTCAGCGTCAAGTCTTATTGTCCAGCTTTGACATAAAGTTCTACACAGGATCGCAGATTACGATCCATCCGGAAACTCGAGAGGCACTTATTGGTGAGCCTCGACCGATACCCGTTGGGAAAGCGATGTATGTGTCCGCCGCGCAGTATCGTCACTCGTGTGACCCAAACTGTTTTGCCTCATTTGTAGGGAACCCGCTTGGCTGCTCACCTCATCTCGTCATTCGCGTCATACGACCTGTCCATGCGGGTGAGGAGCTTACCATTGCCTACCACAACATGACAACATACAAGGCTGTGAGTGCTCAGTTCCGGCGTCGTGTTCTTGCCGAACGCTGTGGATTTATGTGCAACTGCAAGGCATGCCTTGAAAATAAAGATGAACGTGTTACCATAGAAAAGAAGGGTTATTACATTCAGGCCAGTGATTTGTATCAAAAGGGGTGTCGTTTAATTCGTGAGGGTCAATATGATGTTGCTGTCACGGTTTTGTCACAAAGTTATGCTATTGTCATGGAACAATTGTGCCCCCCACCCCGACCCCCGCAATCCATGATTCCAAAAACACACATGGCTCTTGCGAGAGCATTTAATAACCTAAAGGATAACAAGAAATGTGTGGAACACCTGCTTGCCAAGATGGAGCTGGACCTGAAACTTTACGGAGAAGTCCATCTGGAGTTTATAGACGATTACATTCGTCTTGCCTACTTGGCGCCGACTGAGGAGGAGAGAGGGGAATTTGCGCAACGAGCCAAGACCCTTCTCTCTCGTTTTTATGCCCCTTCGAAGGAGCTCCTTGCACAAATGAGTCGATTAGATTCGTTTGTGGCACGACCCGGGCTGTAGTGCAGTGTGGTTTGTCTGGATTCTCGTTTCTTATGGCCCTTGTTATTCTTCTTGCCACTGAAAGAGCCTGTGGGCGATGTTGTATTTGTTCTTTGAGTATTTATCCTGTTGTGAATGACGGTTAACGTCGTCGTAGGAGCTCTACCTGTGTGGAATTGTAGGTTGTTTTTTTCTCTTATTTTGCTTTACTTGCCTCGTCTTTTACAGTGTTCCATACCCCTTGTGAGTGTCGGTCTCTCTCTCTCTCTCTCTCACACACACACATACACACACTCTCTTTGCATGTGCGTGGGGGGAATTGATATTGACGTTTCACATGCATGCATTGGCATGCTCCTCTAAATGGATATCGTTCTGCCACAAAAGGAGTAAGGACCGAACAAAAAAAAAAAAAAAACAATAACACACACACATAAGAGGTAGGGTGGGAAGTGAGGAAGCGGAAGAAGCAGGAGCCTGAATAGTTCGTCCTCTTCGTGTCATTGATGTCTC